TAATATCCACTAGATTGGTACTGATGAGTTCTTGCGTTAGACATACTATTTATAGTTGTTTATTGAGTGTATTGAAGATAATATTAAGTTATACGATATAATATTTTTTCAAATCAAAACTTTTTGTTTATTTCGGACCCCACTGTGAAAAAAATTACTTTACCGAAAAGTGACCTATATTACAAGTTTTGGCGCATTTAATATGGATTCTGAAAAGGTATTACACATGGCCATAAGTCACTCTATTCTTTCTAGGAGGAAAAAACAAATTCGGACTTATGATAGATTATTTACCTACCTGTGACCAGTACTTTGAATCGGACTAGATTCAAAGAATTGGACAGATGGCTGGAGGAATACTTAGGAATTTGTTTAGACGGTACAGATTAAGTATTATGGTCAGAGTCAGGAATTTTGAGCATATTTTATTGTAAAATATTTTGTTTCCTACAAACAAACATTGAGAAATAATTGTTTTAATACAATTATTATTTCACAATCGTTGTTTGTAATTCTTCCTAGAAAGATATAAGAGCGACTCATGGCCACGTGTAATACCTTTTCAGAATCCCTATTAAATGCGCCAAAACTTGTAGTACAGGGACACTTTTCGTGGAGTAATTTTTTTCACAGTGGGGTCAAAGTAAAGAAAAATTTATGACTTGAAAAAATGTTATATCGCATCACTTAATATTATCTTGAATACACTCAATAAACAACTATAAATAGTATGTCTAACGCAAGAACTCATCAGTACCAATCTAGTGGATATTATGAGAAAGATACAGGATATAGATATTTTCGAATTTTAAGAAGAATTAGTAAAAAAAGTCAATTTTCATATAAAAACCAAAATAAATCATAACTCTGCAGGGGTTGACCTTAGAGACCTCCCGTAGAACAATTTTTTGCCACTGATGACCTCATCTATCCCCTATTTGCGTTTGATCCACGACTTTTTGGCCATCCTGTATATACTGCTCAAAACAATTAGCGGAACAAGATTTTTCTCCTTTCTATTGCTTAAACTAAAATTAGATTTAAATTAACTTGTACGCTATTTTTTACCTTGTTAATTTGTTAATTACTACAATTAATAAAAAAAATCAATTTGTATTTTTTTTATTAAAAAAAAATTAAAATGTGCATTGTAGACGAAAAGCTAATTGGTGATAAAAAAGGTCCATCAAAGAAATATTCTTATATCGTTTGAATATTCGTCTTTAGTGACTTTCAGTAACGTGTGTGGCCTCCATGAGCCCTAATCACGGCTTGACAACGACGCGGCATGCTTCGTATGATCCTCCGAATATCTTCTTGCGGAATTCGCTCCCATTCTTCAATCAACGCTTCAGTGAGCTGCTGCAGTGTTTGAGGTGCAATCGGACGCTTCCGGATGCGCCTGTCAAGCAAGTCCCAAATGTTGTTCAATTGGATTTAGGTCAGGGCTCATGGAAGGCCACTCCATTACACGGATTTCCTGTTGTCGTAAGTAATCAGACGTGATGGCTGCAGTATGCGGCCTGGCATTATCTTGCATTAAAAGAAAATCTGGGCCCATACCATATGCTGCGGGCCAAACATGATCTTCGAACACATTTTCAATGTATGTTTGAGCACACAAGCGCCCGGGAACAACGACGAGATCTGTGCGCTCGTCCAAACTAACTCCGCCCCAAACCATCACAGAGGCACATCCAAATTTGTCATATTCCTGGACTGCTACTGCACTGTATCGCTCGCCTGGGCGTCTGTAAACACGGAGACGACCATCGCAACGTGTAAGACGGAATCGTGATTCGTCAGTAAAAAGCACTGGCCTCCAATGTCGAAGTTGCCAATTAGCGTGATTTTGCGCGAACTGTCGGCGAGCTTGTCTATGTTGAATTGTTAGACGCACAGCCCGAACTGGTCGGCGTGATCTCAAACTGGCTTCCAACAACCTATTTCTTACCGTCTGGTCGGAAATTTCTACACCAGTAGCCGTCCTTAGTGTATTTTGTAGATCTCTTGCAGTTGTGGTGCGGTTACGTAAAGCACAGTTGACGATGTAGCGATCTTGCAAACGTGTAGTTTTTCTCTTTCGACCTTGACCACGCTTTCGTGAGTATTCTCCCGTCTCACGGTATCGCTTCCAAAGTCTGTAGATAACAGAAGGGGCTACTCCTAGATCATTTCCTACATAACGCATAGTTCGACCCTCTTCAAGCAAAGCGATAGCTCGGGAGACATGCAATTCAGTCAGATCTGGCATTATGACCTAAACTCACTCGCTTCAATGAATAATAATATAATACTCAAAAGGCTCACTTCAATTTCTAATTATACTCAAAAGATTGAAAAAAACTACTTAAAATGTGTTTTCTGTGATTAGAAAGTAATGAAAGACGTCACTTTGTTTTTCGTCTACAATGCACATTTTAATTTTTTTTTAATAAAAAAAATACAAATTGAATTTTTTTATTAATTGTAGTAATTAACAAATTAACAAGGTAAAAAATAGCGTACAAGTTAATTTAAATCTAATTTTAGTTTAAGCAATAGAAAGGAGAAAAATCTTGTTCCGCTAATTGTTTTGAGCAGTATATTTATATTAAAATTCAACGTTATAAAATACCGCCCTAATAAATTTACTCAATAAATTACATAAAAAAAATCTTATAAAATAAATTCTTTACAATTAAAGTATATTAAACTCCCAGACCATTCCTTTTTATTATACCCGAATCTCTTAGCTAGGGTTGTCGCAATGAAAATAATAAAGCCTCAGGTAATTTCGCTAATGCATGCGGTTACTCCCTATCTAGATCACACTTGAATACTCCATATCCGAAGGTAGCAATTACAAGGGTATTATTGCGATCCTCATGACATTTACACTTAGAAGATACTTGTAAAGACGCCTCGATGTCTTATTCTAACTGTAGGGTGATTAGTAAGTACTTCAAGGCATTGAAGTGTGGTGTCAAATCTTAGATTCGCTTTAGGTTCCGCTATTCCAGCGCTTTCATACAAACTTGTATAGGTATACAAGCTTGTAACAAAGTCGTCAATGAATTAAGAGAATCGCGTTTTCCTCCCAAATACGTACTTTCAGTTCTATTGTTTCAAATATTATGTTGATTTTTATTTTTACAAGGACGTAGGAAATACAAAGTTTAATTTACGATGGCATGTCAAGTAGATATAATAGTAATTTTTATTATCAATGTATGATTCACAAACTAAATGTTTTTTTATGTAATAGGAGGCAAACGGGCAGGAGGCTCACCTGATGTTAAATGGACACTCATATTTCCAGAAGGCTCGCAAGTGCGTTGCCGGCTTTTCAACAATTCGTAAGCTCTTTTCTTGAAGGAATCTAAGTCGAATTGGTTCGAAAATACTTCAGTGGGCAGCTGGTTACACATAGTGGTGGTATGTGGAAAAAACTGCCTTGAAAACGCTCAGTTGTGGAACGGCGGACGTCGAAGTGATACTTGTGGAATTTCGTATTCTGCCTCGACGTCCGATGATGACTCAGCTGCAGGTACGAACAACTCTGAACACTCTCCATGGTAAATGTGGTAGAAGATGCAGAGTGACTCCATATCTCTACGCATCGCCAAAGGATCAAGCCGCTTGGAAAGTGACTGGTCGTTGACGATTCAAAACGCTCTTCGTTGAATACTCTATACAAATCTTTTCGGGATAACGATTTCATTCTACATTAATGAAGTCCGGTAATTTACGATTGAATAAGATATGGTTTGATAGAAATACTACTGTTTCAAATATAATATTAACTAAGACGGATGAAAGTCCTATGAATTACTTATAAGGTAGAGAACAAGAAACCTTTTAATGAATAAGTATACGTCTTATATCGTCAATATTCTCAAAATCGGTTCAGAAAACAAATTATACGAATGCTAAATTTTTTGTATGGAACGATAGATAACCAAATAGCCAGAAGTAACTACTTAAATTAGTTGGTTCCAAATTTAAAAAATGAAATCCATTTAAAATATTACCACAGAATATAAAATATGGATCTCGTATGACTTTGATATATCGTCACGTCACTCTACACCCATCAAACAATAAATAAAACACAACATATATGTATATATTTTTACTTTGCAGGCAATATTTATACACTTGTTATATGGCCGTTATGTAAGTGGCTTAATGTTAAATCAAACATAATTATATGAATCTAAAACCGAGTCCTAAAGTATTAATGTTTATTAAACAAATCTGCACAAATATAAGCGTTAGGTTCGTCGATTCATCATTTAAAGAAATTAAAACTTTATTTTATTGACAACCAACTTAAAATGTTGTATGTTTAAATTTGAAGCAAGGTAGAGTTAGGACCCGTAGCCCCGACCGGGACCCGAACCATAAAAACTTCTTTCAAAGGCTGTCAAACAGTTTGTCTATTTCGGCATTGCTCAAGTCTTGAAGTACGTATCAATATAATTTAATACGATATTTACATTTTTAATTAATAAATTAGGACCCTTGATAACTAAAACTACAACGTCAAGTTCTATAACAGATGACAGTTAATAAATTCAACAACATTAATTTTAACAATAAATACATGTCTAACTATATTTGTTTACATTTCACTATACATGCAAAATCTAGTAAAACTTAATCCCTGAAATACATAAAATATACTTATTTACAAACATAGAAAAATATCAATAAAATACATACATTCCTTTACGCAAGGATAATTTTAATAACTTATAAGAAAAGCTTTTTTTACATCAAAATGCTTAGAGCAGTTTTAAGGTTAAATACACATAGTTCACTCAAATAGTACACAAGCATTTACAACGCTCATTTTAGTGTTTATGAAGTCCAAGCACATTCACTATTTTAAAAAAAACACAATACCATATTAAATTCGCTTTTTGGGTATTTACGAATTAATAGCCACTCATATGTAACAGCTAGATTTAACAGATATTCTCTTTAGTTATATAGATGTATTGAGAATAGTTTATTTAGCACGCGAGAGCTAAGGCAGTTAGTAAGAAAATCGCGTGTGGGGTGACTCGACAAGACGTAGCGGGTGAGGGTCGACCTCCCAGGAAGTCCGCGTCCTCAGTACGATGCCCTCCTTCCCGCAGCGGGCCTTGGAGACTGGACCGCACATCGTTTGTCTCTACGTAATTCGTTTCTGTGTCTTCGACTCGTGATTTAAGATATGGTAGCTCCATTTCTAAAAGAAAATATCACATTGTATGAGATTTCACTGCAAGCTTAGCTGGAATATTTCACGATTTTAATTGGCTTGTCTCAAATATTTATGTGTAGTGAATTCATTATATATATCAACGTTTATTCTATTTGAATTTCTTAGCTGATCTTATTTCGCAATGTCTTTGTTAAAGATTAAATTTTCAAAAAAAATTATTTGAAATTTGAAACATTCATAGAATTAAGAAAACATATACGTACTATATAATCTAATGGTTCCTTCAGCATCACCAATGGAGTTCTTGGATATACACTTGTAGCCTCCCATATCAGTGTCTTGAATATTATGTACAATTAAACGCATTTGAACACTGTACGCCGAATTGCTGATTTCACTCATCTGGTACTTGTCATTAGTAATAATCATTTCACCTGGACAAAATATTTTTTTATAATAATGCAAATATTTAGTATGAGAAATAAAGTAAATAGCGGAATATATCGCTAGGAAATAATTCGTACTGGGTTCTTCTTAACTAAAAGACATTCATGAGAGTAATATAATAGCATTAAAAAGGTGTATACCGCGAGTACTCGGGTTCCATAAGAGTTTCGCGTTCAGAGGCATAGAAGACCGATCTCATTTGTATATCACATAATAATAGTCAGCATTTTGTAGAGGTTAGAACTTAGAGGCATAAATATAACGCAAGATTTCAATAATCAATTATGAAACATTACACTTAGGCTACTTCAACTAACAGAATTCATCATTTAAATTATTTATAAAAAAATATCGTTCACAAGAACAAAACTCATTGTTATACTAACACGATAACATAAAACTAGTCGATTATTGATATAGTTATTTCCTCACCCTTCGATAGGACCTTTCCGATCATTTATATTCGGCTACATCCGAATATTGCTTATCGATATGAAATATGTTGTTTCGTGTGTCGTGACAATAGTAATGACTCGCACACAATGCTTAGTCAACGTTTATATCAATTTGACCTTACATAGTCTATAGGTGATAGTTAATTTTATATCTACATTCATTGAATTATTCAATTTCGTATTTTATATAACGAGACAGTGAGTGAGATAAGTATAAAAAGTGGAATTGATTATCTTGATACAAATTATCATTGTGTGTTAATTTCCTAAGAAACATGTTACTTCTCTTAAAATAATCACGAAACAGTGACTTCTACGTTCCTAAATGATTTGATGTGCAAATACACGTTACATACGCTAAAATATGTACTAATTTTATTACTTAAATCAAGACCTATGTAAAAGATTCAATTTCAGTTTGAATACTTTTAATTATTCATAAAAAGGTTACGATTATAAAGACTTATTCGATTTTTTTACTTTTGTTCTGCTGAACAATACCGTGCCTTTGACGTGAAACCTCACAACTGTATAAATGTAGGCAATTCTTTAAAGTTAGTTAGCAAAAAAATTAAAATTATGTATAAACACTAAACGATGTAGTGACTGTCATTTAAAGCTTATATATAATTTAACTGGTAAAGTAAATGTAATGAAGTTTTTCTAGACTATGAAACACTTTACTATAATCAAAGCTATATATTATGTAGTTATCAAAAGTACCATAACTACTCATAAAACAGACTAAATTTCATTGATAATTTATATTTATTTATGTAAAAAAAAATTGGTTCGCAAGTAATTAACCTAGGGCTTCATTCTTCGTGCTTTATCTACTTTATCACAAAGGCGGATATTTGAAGGCATAAAACGTGCGTTTAATTACCATAAAACAATTAATACAATGTCTAATAAAAAGTAATCACGACGAGTACAATTAATCATCTTATCTGAAGAAAGCATTTAAAATGTGCAAAGAGTGTGCCGGGTTGTTCGCTTCACTCGCTACATTATATCGGGGGTCATGCTATTCTACATTAAAAATTGCTTGCATTCTTCTTGTCCCGTTTATTTGTGCGGGCGAGTTTTATTTTTCGTTTCCACAGCCACCGAGGCTTATTTTATTACAGCGACATTAAATTGGAATTCCTCGGTTTTTTGGCAATATCCACTTCATAACAGAATTCTTGACGATGTTTTTAGATATTTAAAGATGTTATGTTAATTTAAGAAATTATTGTGTATGCTTTATATATTTATGACCTTCATTTTACGTACTAATTTGTTATAGTTAAATAATAGTTAAGCGCTTAAGGATACAAAATCAATGATAATGCGGTCACACTAACCTATATAATTTTAGCTCAAACTTTTCTATAGTTTCGTTAAGTATTAGTATTGTTTTTATGTATACTTATTTGACACAATATATTCACTTGTTGGTAGTTCACCCTATGTCAACCTTTATTTTAGCAAGCTTGCATTCTCCTATTCAACTGCCATGAGAATTATCTCTTAGCTTAAAGTCAGTCGAGTCCATTTTACGATTCAAACCGAGCAGTTGCCTTTCTAAATCTATATTTCTAAATAAATCCTTTGTGTAAAATAAATTATTTTTTTAATCTGCTACATGCAGTACGCCTGATAGTGGAAATAGTAATTGTCACTAATCGTAAGGATCATTCATTAGTAAGTCAAATACATCAAGCCAGCCCACTGGCGGGAGGTTTCGGCTTGAATTGACCACAAATCTGTGGCGTGCTTACTGCAACTGACACCTTGACGGTGCCCGGTTGCGACAGTTACGCCCTCTTTGTTTATTATCATACAAAATTAATAAACCATCGATTATAATCGATTAAATATAAATTTTATAATTAAATAGATAAACTTATATAGGCGTTCTAAATTAGTGTGTAGATAAGTAACTTCTTTATCGCGTTTCTACAAAGATCGTGATAAGCAGCGTAGCTACATATGCCAGGTACATATTTATAATGTTAAGGTAGTCTTTCCAATATTTTTTTAGGTTCAATAAAAATTAATATTTTAACAACATTTTGTATTCGTATATAAATATGGTATGAAAAAACGAGAGAAAGAATAATGGCTGTGGTTCTGAAAAGCGTGTGTTTACCTCTATATTGAGATTTTGTTTACATTTGAGTTCATTATTTCGAATTCTATTGACGTTAGATCCAAGTATCTAAAGAACTTAAAACTTTTCTTGTTATCGAAAGCTTAACAAAGATCAAGTCCACTCTACGTCTGTCTGAGTCAGGTCCACCCTTTCCGTGTCCACCGCGCCATAGCTCGTCCCGTCTCGTCACAGCCATGTATTACCTAATTTAATTTGTAACTCACCACAATTTATAGCCCGTTGGACCGGCTGACCATTCCTATGTCTAACTAAACACGATACAAAATGGCTTTTAAATAGACAGTGACCAAATGTTATTGAAAAGTGAATATGAATTTTATTTGTTCAAATATTGTGGTATAGGAGAGTAAATATAACGAATGTAGCCTAAAGCAATTTGAAGCGGGGTGGGCCAGCGGTCTTTGTTGCATATCGGCCGGTAATAGAATTTGGTCCGCTTTTTGCGTGGTCGGTCTACACGCGTAATGGCTGGCTCGGTTGCCTTTGTAGCTACACTTAAATCTGCCCTGCACTATCCATCTGGTTAGCTTATTTTATTATGGTCACGTTGTCGCATCAGTGATATTATTAGTTAATGTTCTTTTGTTCTAAAATTCAACGCCTCATAATAGCTCATTTGTAATACAATTTGTTTAGAAGTCCACTTTATAAAATCACAAATGAGCTAAGCTTCACTAAGCATCATCAATTTTAATTCGTAAACAATCTTTAGACAGCGTTTAACGGTATCTACTTGAAATGTATTTCTCCAATTTACATATCGAATTCTGTTGCAGCTATAAATCGCAGAACAATTTGAAATGTCAAAGAATCCGCTGAAAAGTTTTATTCGTTGTATTGGTTTGGGCAGCTGGTGTAGCCACACATGTCGCTGCGGCAAGTAACGTATTTCTAACTGGACTTTAGTGAACGGCTCGCGTAACGCATTATCCGGCAATACTAGTTCTCCTTTCTCGGTTCTCAACATATGCACTCGCTAAGGGCCTTTATTTAACATAAGTCTACAGGCCTAATTTTTTATAATTTCAGCTACGACAAAATACAATTATTTGTTATGATAATTATTCTAAATGCTAATTCACGCCAAATTGGAAGGAACAATCTATTCACTCCGAACCATATAAACAAGGCATCCTTAAAAACAGTTCAACACTATCGACACTAATTCAAAAACTCTAATAACGCTGACGTGATTCAATTCGTGTCCGAGTGTTCCACTGTATCCCTTATATGGCGATATGGTATAATCAGAATTGCGGGAATGGATGAAATATTTTGAAGTAGTAATAGCTGTAGGCTCTTAACCGTATATGAAAATGTCCTTTCCAATGCTCTTTTCGCATTCGAACAATTTACTTAAAGCGAGTGGCGCGGCGCATACAATTACGAGTAACGTAATTAAGTGCGGTATTGATCGCGTTTCATTTTTGGTCCCAATTTATAATTGTGTATAAATTTTAATTGCTTAAACGATAGTCTCCTTACGTTTGAATGGTTGTTATTAAGCAAAATGGCAAATATCTTTCAATTATACATAGATAATGTGTATGTTAAGACTATCTGTTGTATATCTCACATATAATTTATCTGTGCTCCGAAGAACGTATGCTATAATTGAATAATTGTTATAGACTTGATATGAATAACAATATAAACCTTTTGAACACACCATTTTTTTGTATTATTTTTTATTCGACTACGTTAATTTTACTAGCATTTCTACCTGCGCACAGAATAAACAAGTTTAAACACAGGTGTGTCGTTATAACGAAAAGTAATGCCCCTTCCAACGTTTTGTTAGGTTGAGTGCCTTATTTGTATTAGTTAGCACGTATTTTTACAGGACTGCAATTATATAAGTCAGTCCTTTTAAATATTTATTGTACTCTTGATGAGATACTACCATACATATGGCAACTTTATACTTTTTGAAAATACACAATGGTAATCAATAGGAGAGCTTATATGAATTGTATTATAATGTTGGCTTAGTGGCTTACTCTCATCTTTGAGGTCGTGCGTTCGATTCACAGCTTAACAAAAATCTTTCTATGTGAGCATTGCATCGCACGGGGATGAAAAACATCGTGAGGAAACCGCACCACAGAAAGCTTATCACCTACTTGTATACAAGACAAAGATCGGAGAAATGCAATCTGATGCCATGACCCATTTAGGGATGTAACGCCATTGGATAATTATTATTATGACTTACAAATTTATTGAAACAAAACTTTTACAGAAATAAATGTGAATATATTATTTTATATTATTTCACTTTGCGCCTTTGATGGTGTTAAACGTAACACTTAATCATTCATATCAAATTGCCATTTGGTATAGTATATAGATTATTATAGGTCTATATGAGTAGTAATGCAATTCGAACGTCGAATAAAGTAAATTATGTAATAAATTCGTGTTTATATCTATTAATAATGTTTTATATGAATTAGTAATACTCAAGTAAAACAAAGACAAAATTATGTATTTTTTTTTTAACGCATTTCCCATAACTATTAGGGTATGTAAGACTTAACGCACATTATCTTCTCTGCTATTCAGAGAGCTGTGTGAGTAACCAAATAAACAGTGTAGAAAAGCTTTTAAGTTATACCGATTTGTTTAAAAATCTGGTTAAATAATATGCATAAAGAAATAATAGCTTAACCATTCTTCATTTTCTAGCCCGGGCAAGTTGAAGGGATTACACTTTTAAAATGTAAATGGATTATAATTATTAAACGCTAGTACATAATTAACGGTAATTAATAATGTACATTGTCGCTCCATAATCAACGTCGAAATAAATCTTTGTTAATGAAACGCGAACATGAAAATTTCTAATATTTTTTAAATACTCATAAAACGTACCTTGTAGACACTAGCCCCTGTCAAAGAGGGATAGTAGAAATATGAAAAACGACTCATTTAATGACTACTTTAACGCTTTCAATGTGCTTTATGAATAATGAAATTAGTTGCTTATTCCGTTCTTGAGTTCCGTGCCCGAGACTTAATAAGCTTTATGAGTTACGACGCGGTTATAAAATATCCTACCGGCCTTGTTGAACGTAAACAGAGATTGTAAATAAGTTTTGAGCCTTTTAATGTGCGTGACATGGCGTTACAATTGAAGAAAAACATAATGTACAGTTAAGAACAGTTAAGTTCAATATTGATATTTAAAAACTTCCGGTAAAGAGAATTTTTTATTAAAGCAAAAATAAAAAAAAAGATTCATGTTTTTAGAAACAAGTGACCTATTAACTTAATTAATGAACATAAAAATTTATAATCCTACAAAAAAATATAATCTTCTGCCATGTGTGTCTTTATATCATTTATACAGAAAAGAGAACATAAACGGAGACATTACGAAAAATCTTACCATTTTCCCTAGTCCAATAGTTGATAGCCTTCGGCGAAGCTTCCACGTGGCACTGAAGGTTGACATCTGTGCCCGTCGGAGCACCCACAAGCTGATTTGGGACTTGTACTAATGGGTGGACTAGAAAAAAATATTAAACACATTATTATATTTGTGTATTTTTCTTTGACAAATCTAGTTAAAAGTACATATAGATATGGTATTAATCAAGCCGTCGACTAGGCTCCAATAACAAGAGCAAAAGTTTGGATGTGAAAGCGTTTTAAAAGCTTTTACCGATAACTAGACGTAGGTATATTATGAGTTTTTGGGTACATTAATTTTAGTACACAAATAGCAAATATAAACATAAGTGAGTGGTTTGCGGTACAGCATAAAGTACAATTTACCACGTAGGTACTGCTATTAGCAAAATGCGCCACGCAGTTTTGATGTTTGCATACATAAAATACGGTACATTCTAGCCTGTTAGGTTTTGATACATTTTAACCGAGTGCCGTACCGCGATTCGCATATGCTGAGGTTTTACTAGCATTTTTGTTTACACAACTTTCCATTTGCCGTTGAAATGTTTGTGTGCGTGTGTTACTATGCAGATACTGGAAAAGGTTTTGCATTTCATATAACTGAACGTTCCTGCACTTGCCGCATAATATTTTTACTATTCGTGAAACTAATATAGCTTTTGCTTATTTAAACTTTTTAAACTACGGTGACACGTTTTAACACTGTTTTGAAATGATTTAATTATGAACTTTTTTTCATATAATAAAAAACATTGAAATAACGTTGAAATTTTTCAATTCAATTGCCTTTTCTATTTATGTCTTGTGATCAAAACTAATTAATATATTTTAGTAAATGTTTGCTTCCGGTTCATACATTCTGAAGAAAAAACTTCTTATATTTTGAAGCGACACTTCATTTGGGTGATATTAAAATTAGCTCAAATTTATCAAATGTATATTTTTTCTTGTTTATAATATTGTGTATCATATATATTTATATGTTTTGGTGATCACCTACTGCTTTCAAGTACCTTTTAAAATAAACGTTTTATACTCTAAATTACTGTGTTTAAGTTCCGTATCTACATTATAAGTATATTTCTGATTATTTTTGTTGTGTTACTTTTACATAAAAACATTTTTCCTTATCTGTGCAACAATTCAAGGACACTTCTAAAAGTAGAACTTGTACTTTTTTATGTTGTATTTGAGATCTGTATGTCATGTTTCCTTATTGAATAAATAATATATATATTAGAATTAGTTATTAAACACTAACATCTGCATAATTTTGACGTAAAAGTAAGCATTGTGAAACTCATAGTAGAGCTATCAATAACGACTAATTTTCGAAAAGCTTGAACCAATAATAATATATTTTATCATTAATATTAAATGAATTTGCATTTGTCACATTGTCATTAATAGTTATGTCAGTGTTGTGTTTCATTATAGCGAGAATTAATTATAATTCATGAGCAAATCAGTATTAGTGGACAGTAACTAATACTAATACGTATTTATATTCTAATTTCAACAATTTATCCTGTCAAACTATATACAATACGCAAAATTTCATAGTTAATTATTATTACTACCTTATGTTAATAAATTTAGAAGTATTTTCTTTATTCAAGTTATAAGTGTACATTGTGTTACTTACAATATGAATAAATTATATTTAGATTTGATTACGGTCTCAAAGCGCCAGTGTATGATTTGTTCCTACCATCCTCGTGTCACTTGGAAAACATAAAAATAATCTCAAACATGTTTAATTATTAAGGCCCACAATGTGTTTTTAAATTTCTTTACCTTCATATTCTTTATTGTAAAATAAGATGAACATTTTACTTTAAGATTTGAATTCAAATGGAGCATTATGTCTGTCGTCATGATGTATTAAGTATTCTCCTCCATTTCGAGAACACGGGACTTCGCTTAGAATTGAGAAGCAAACTTCAAACAGAGGACTCCCAAATTAGTTACTATCATAAAACAATATGATACGTGTAAAATATTCGTTACACAGTAGGGAAGTGAATTTGCGTAATATCCGGCAAGTATGCACATTAGTCGCGCCGCTCGCGCAGGGTGTTTGCACAGTTCCGGTACAGCACTTCGCGAACTTACTGCTACTGTCAGGTGTTTACTTTGAATATTATCTGAGAACTGGCTGCATTACAAATGTTTGTATTGAGTTGAGTTTTATTTGACTAGTCTCGTAATAGTTTGTTCCCAATTAAATTAAAGTGTCCGTTCCGTCTGTTCTCAACTTTACGTTCGTATTTGCAAGGGTATGAAAGTTGAGTAATTTGCGTGAAAGTCAACTTAATTGGGCATCATTATTAAAATTATTACTTAGCAAATAAACATATAATTATAACCAAGTTTTAGGCATTAAATGTAAGCATACTTTGTCCGTTAAAGTCTGTTTAGAGTGAATTAAGGAAAAAGGAATTTTCTCCATCGGCCTTAGATTGCAGCTTATTTGCGGTTATTCTCTTTGACCGTCGTTAAGTTCCTTTGGACGGCTTTTACGAGTTCGAGTGGCCAATTTAGCGAACAAAATCTGAACGATCAGAATTTTTGTTGTAATTAATAACTCGACCCAAAGAATTTCTAATAAAATAAAATTAGCTGAGACTTTATTACTCCGATTATAGAGATAAAAAGTGATGAAATTAGAAGGTGCTATTTACGAATTTTCTTATATAAGTAGATTGGAATTCTCTACAGCAATCAAAAGTTAGGGCGAGTTTTCCGAGGAAGGATTTTGCGCGGAATTCTTGAAGTGACAGTTTGATTAACCGAGCGGTGCACACGCTTTTCGATTCCTTGCTGTTTTGTAGACCTGTTCTAGATAGCTATTACAAGAATTTGTTACCAAAGTGTCTGCTATTATTTACTTATTACATTGGTAAATTGATGGCATGGAAAATAGTTATAATATTTTCAAAACTAATTTCTTAGTAACGTTCCAACAGTCATGATGGAACTTTTTAAAAACTATATTCTACTCTCATAGAAGTACGAGTACTTAGGTTGCACATAAGCATAAAATAAATTTAAAATGTTTGGTTCTTTAATCCTAGTAGCAATTCTAAGTTAAGTACTAAATAGAAGATCTCTTAATAAGTACAAACAACTAAAAATTAAAGAGCAAAATTATGATAAAATGTCTTATATTTTTCAAACAATTACTGCCATGTATTTAATCCACCTCATAATTACAATTCCAACAAAGTACTAGATAAAGTGTAAACAATTCAATGTAACATTAATTAATTCAAGGAGGACGTATGCAAATTGCTAACAATTTGTTCACTTCTCTCAGTTTCTTTTTCTAAACTAATTTAGCGTGTTTTCAAGTCGTCTGTGAATGAACTAAAATAAATCGACCGCGTTACAGAGTATTTACCCATATCTTAGAACCCCGAACGTTTCTTGGTTGGTTTAAAGGGATTAACAAATTCACTGAAATTTCTTTATATTAAATTCAAATTCTACGGTAAGTAAGCGACCTTTTATTTACATAACTCTAAATTTCGTGTCAATAAGTGACTCCCGCTGACCATGATTGCAGAAATGCACATTTATTAAACACGTTTTATTTATTTATTTAAACTTAAATAAATAAAAGCAAATAACATAAATTAATAAGTATGCAATGGGTGGCCTTATCGCCAACAAGCGATCTCTTCCAGGCAATCCGAGTAAGGAAAAATACTAAAAAAAATGAAATATTTAGGGTAAAGTACTTGAAATGCATAACCAAATTAACGAAAATAAAATTCAAATAACACTAGAAAATTATAGAATTACCAAACTTAATCTTAAATAAATATTAAAAAAAAAAAAAAAAACTAAATTAAAAGCTAATCTCACGGTTCATTAATTACAATGCAATATAAATGAATAAGAAAATATATGAATTACAAAAGTCACGATTGAGCTGGATAGGATATGGTTAGAATCGTTTATGTAGAAGTTTTTTAAAAGAGGTTAGATGGGTAGACAATCGTATGGATTCAGGAATCGACAACTTAACGGCGGACATTTTTTATTGTCTAAGAAGGATGAGCTGTGAGATGGAATTTTCAAAAAGCATCTATTTGAGATGCGAAACATATAGTTACAAGGACCTGAGAATTTGAATTAATTTTTAAGATAAGAGTTTTGGGAATGAGAAGAGAATGAGTTTAGAAGTTGAAGTAGATGGAGGAGACGAGCTGCCTGCGGAATTCAGATACATTGTCATATGTCCTAAGATCAAATATAATTGTGTAATACTTACGTAAACCAAAGATATACTATTAAGGATTAAGCTTGATCTGCTCTCTAGATACCTTTAAGATGTTAGCAATCAGTTTTAATACTATAATGCTTTTACTAAGGTCTTACCTTCGCATTTTTTTATCTTAACAGAGTACAAGCATTGTCAATAAATACATATACATCACGATGCGATAGTGATTAGTTAATGCGAATGGGAATCATATGAAATGGTCCTATTTTATCACAGAATAAATCCCATTTGACAGAAAGAGACGAAAAAAATAAGTGAAATACGAGTGATTCAGTTGATTCAAAAATCCTTTTTTATTTACTAAAACATGTTAACAGAGCTTGTATTTAAGTTGTAGAAACTCGCGTATCTTGCTGAAACCGTACTACTGAATCACATAATTAAAAAAACATAAATTACTGCCTCACTTAACTAAAAATTACTGTTTGGGAATTATAAGAAATTTAATTTTAAAAGCTCAAACGTCAGTTAAACGTACTTTAATATGAAAAAACCTTCAGTACTCTTTTCACGTCACAAATAATGCCTTAAAATGCGTGGTTGCAGGTCACTTGTTATCAAGAGGACCATTTGTTTCCAAGAGGGAAATTTAAATTAAATATTTGAGGGCGTTAATTTTGTCTCCTCATTGGGTGAACGCGACGCATTCTTTGCGAAGTAATTAAACAGAGTGGAAGGGTTCCTGTATTAGTTTGTTTGTTTGGTTTAAATTGCGTTTTCTATGAACTCCGAATAGTCAATTGCTCCTAGCTATAATTACAATGTTTTGTCAGTATTTGAATGCTAATGTTGTAGTAAATTGA